AACTGAAATGCCTCGGTTGCCCTAAAGAGCAACCCTTTTAGACTGCATAATTTATATTTTGGCTTGATTGGGGAGGAAGGGTACTTATTCTTTTTTACAGTTTCTCTCCAGGGATTATGAGTCATAGGCATGACTAACAGAAAGTAGTGAAACTGTCTTTTTAAGAGCATGCACACAGATTTTTCTAAAGAGAAAGATTTTCCTTCCTTTTTAATTATACCGAGAGCAGCTCACGGAAGATAATGTATAGAAAGTGCTAGCTCAGCAGAGACTGCTGTTGCATCCAGAGAAGGCCTAGAATGTCAGTGCATTTGGCTGTCTTCCCTCTTTTCTTCTCCTCAGCCCCACTACGCTGATTAAGAATTCATGATTATAACTCAACTATGTCAGTATTGACATAAAAGTGAAAGCACAAAACTGGCAGCTTCTTCCAGTTAGAAATTTAGTGGTAGTGACTGTTTTAATTTTTATTTTTTAAATGCCATTATGCTTAGAGATATATTTTGATGTAAATACATCACTAAAATTTTTATAACTTATGCAGCCTTTTGTACTTGCTTTCTTTAGTGATTAACATATTATTTACTTTCCTCTTGGGTAACCAAGAATAATTGATACACTATATTTTAATATTTTGTGTTATACTGCTTTAATTGATTGTATAAGTTATTCCAAATTAATTTTATAAGTTATTCCAAATGCTAAGGTTATTTTATACTCATCTAATCTGTTTAAGGTTGAGGTATGTTGGGGAGAAAAAAGGTTATATATAACAGTTTGAAGACACTACAATAGGAAAGTCTAAATAAAAGCAAATAAAGGAAACCCTTTAAAAATAAATCCTACTAATTTATCATTTAGCTAATAGTTTTTTTATATCTTATGTTTTTTTCTGTTCCTTTACCCATGTCTTCTGCCATGCAAAGAACAAATGAGAAATAAAATTTTAAGCTATAGCCTCACTTATCATCAGTAACAATTCTTATTGTTAACATAATTTTTCATTCACTAGATCAGAATATTGTTATTTAATAAAATATCTAAATTTAGATACCATTAATTTGGAATATTTTGGTTACTCCATAATCTAGCAATTTCTACTAGTTTTAGACATGTTGTATATATTGTCCCAGTAGATTGCACAGGACCAGTAGTATAATAGTCTGTATTTGTCTAATGGGAAAAGGAAAGCTGAAGTCCACTGAGATTAGACTGGGACTTTCTATATTGTAAATACAGGATACAATCATTACTGTAATTCCATTCTTCTGATCTAAATCATTTGCTCCTTATTTGTTTTTGGACCATTTTCATCTCTGTAAATTAACAGCCCCGTTGACATGAGGCAGAGGAAGGAAAAGGAAAAATATGTTAATAGTCAGCAATTGCCACCGTAAATTGGGCAATCAAGCAGAATGCCATTTCATAACTCAACTTGGTTAAGAACCACACCCCTACAAAGTCAGCATTCTGGCCTTCAGTTTTCAGCTGAGGAAATGGAGGTTCAAAGAGGCTAGTAACCAGTCCGAAAGAGTGGAACCCAGGTCTGTCAGACACTGAAATTCCTACAGTTCGCTACTTCTCCAGTAGCTTAGAATCTGACACACATAGACGCATACCAGAAATTAAAGTATCATTTACTATTGCGAGTTGCAAAAATAGCAGTCACTAAGCCAAAGGAGTCCAGAGAAATAAACAGTCACTTCTGGGTAGATGGTCAGCAGAACTGCTTCTTCATTGAAAAGTTCAGCCATAAAAGGTGAAGTTTAAGAGAGAGGGGATTTCAGGAGGGAAAAAAAATAGAAAGAAAAACATTCCAGGAGATGATGGCTTAGAATGAGATAGCCACAGAGAAGGAGTAGGTGAGCAACAAGAGAAGTAGATTCCCCAAGACCTTGCACATGTGCTGAATGAACATGGCTATGTTAATATCTGCCCAGTGTCCAATATTAAGATAAATACTTTTCAAGTTAAAGGAAGTATCAAGAACTTTGGACTGAGAAGGTCTCATAAAGCTTCACAGGAGAGAGATGATTTGAGGGGGTTGTAAGATGGATATAAATTTTAAGGAAAACTCTTGAGCAAAATGTTGAGGTGGAAAGACTGAGACCTAAGATATATTCACCTGTCGATGGCTAAAGGACAGCTTTTCTCTAAGAGAGACCCTGAGATGGGTTTGGATAGTAGGCAATGAAGAACCCTTAAAAGTGTTTTAGTCCAAATGCTGCCCTTACCAAGGTCACCACTGACCTCTTTGTTGTAAATATAATAAATAAATAACAATAAAATTATAAGTAATTTCCAACCCTTTTCTTCCATAATCTCTTGACTTTTGACAATGTGTTGACCTATTTCTCTTAAAAACTCTTTTGCCCTGGTTATTTGAAATAGCCCTACTTTCCTGGCTTTCCTTTCACCATTACTCAGTCCCCTTTGTCTCTTTACTCATCTCCTCATCCCAGCATTACCACAGTCTGCCCCCACCACCCCCAACTCACCTTCATCCTCTTCAGGTGTGACTTGAGTGGCAGCAGCACCCCAATACAGGTCTCCACTCCACACCTCTCTCCAGACCACACACTGACCTGCCTTCCTACTCAACATTTCTCCTGGATGAGTATGACAATGGCTGCAGCCTTGCCCTCCAACCTGGCTCTTACCCAGACACGGATCTGGGACTGTCACTCCCTACTGAAAATCTTACTGTAACTTTCCCATGCATTAGCATTAGAATTTATCTGCTCCTTATTTCCTAATGTGGCCCAGCTGGGTGTTACATTCTGGACCTACCTACACAATGAGGGTCCTGATGGCTTCGTCCAACCTACATTTCACTAAAATTATGGACCTTTGAAAAACTTCTGCTCAAACTGATGGGCATGTCGCCTCTAGAAATCTTTGTTTCTTCTGGATTTGACTCTCTTCCAACCTAGCAAAGACAATGGCAGTGATCATTTAGACTTCTGCTTGATGGGCATAACCTTAAGAACTGTAGGCCAGAGGGAAAAAACCTCCATATAGCCAATTTATCTCATTCTGTGCCAGGCGCTTTAGAAAAGAATATCGTTATCAATGCTGGCCTGTGACATTACGTTCAGGGTAAATTTTCATTGCCAAGAGTACCTGCCAAAGGTTTTCTTCTGTTCATATTTGCTTATGCTTCTTGAAATGCTTTGAAATATTGATTGATTACTCTTACATCTATAAAAACACATATATATGTATGTACATATATAAATACACAATCCATACACACACACACTAATATACAGACTGTCTTCAACTTCTGATAGTTCGAATTTTGATTGTTTTCAACTTTACAGTGGTGTAAAAGTGATATACGTTCAGTAAAAACCATAAAGCAAGTCCTCGAGTAATGTCATTTTGTTGAGTATCATTTCATTCAAAGTCATTTTGTTATAATGATGAAAAAAGAAATCAGTTCCATCCAGGGCCACTGTCTGTGTGGAGTTTGCACATTCTCTCCATGTCTGTGAGGGTTTCCTCCAAAGACTCCAGTTTCCTCCCACATCCCAAAGATCTATATGTGAAATGCATTGCCATGTCTACATCGTCCCAGTCTTGGTGACTATGGGATGTGTGTGAGTACGCCCTGTGATGGCCTTGTTTAGGGTGGGTCCCACCTTGTGTCTTGAGCTGCCAGGATAGGCTCTGGACGACCGCAATGCTGAACTGGGTTGAAAAAAGAATTATCTTACTTGTTTTTATTCATCTTTCTTAAATGTATATATGGTTCACATTTATTTCAGTGTTTAATATTAGAAATGTTTGGGTTCTTTATTTAGAAGTTTGGTGATGTTTTCATGACCAGAAATATGCCATCAATGAGATACCACCTCACACCTATTAGAATAACTATAATCAACAGGACAAGTAATTACAAATATTGGAGAGGATGCAGAGAAAATGGAACATTCATACACTGCTGGTGGAACTGCAAATTGGTACAGCCACTGTGGAAAACAGTATAGAAGTTCCTCAAAAAACTAAGAATTGATCTACCATATGATCTACCATATGATCCAGCAATCCCTCTACTGGGTATTTACCCCAAAGACTTGAAAACTCATATCCATAAAGGTATCTGCACACCAATGTTCATAGCAGCTTAATTCACAGTGGCCAGGACATGGAAGCAACTGAAATATCCTACGATAGATGATTGGCTAAAGAAGCTGTGGTACACATATACAATGGAATATTACTCAGCCATAAGAAGAGATGAAATACTGCCATTTGCAGCAACATGGATGGACCTCGAAATAATCATGCTAAGTGAAATAAGCCAGACAGAAAAAGGAAAAGTTCACATGATATCACTCATATGTGGGATATAAACCCAAAAGCAAACAGAGACATGGACAATGGACTAGTGGTTACCAGAGGTGGGGAAGGAGAGAGGAGGTAGATGGGGTAATGGGGGTCAAATATATGGGAGTAGGAGGAGGGTGAAGGGGATCAAAATAGGGGGCTAGGGGGAGGGCGAAGTGGGTAAAGGAGATCAAATATATGATAGCTGAAGGAAACTAGACTTTGGGTGGTAAACACACAATAGAATATACAGATGTTAAATTATAATGTACACCTGAAAAGTATATAATTGTATTAACCAATGTTACCCCAATAAACTTAATTAAAAAAAAAGAAAAGAAATATGCCGTCGGAACTTAACTTGTTTATATCAATTAACCTCTGATAAAATGGGTTTATTATATGTTGTTTCCTTTAACGTTGCCATATCCAAGAACCTATTGATGATGTTAAGTGAGGACTTACTGTACCTCACATTTTGAATTTTGATCTTTTCCTCGGCTAGCAATGTACAGTCCAGTCCTCTCATGGTGGAACAGAGCTTCCAGTAAGCCACGTGATCACAAGAGTAAACAAACAACTGATAGACTAAGTATATTTACAGTGTTACTTGATTTTACCTAACTGTAGGCCTATGTGTTTTGATCACAGTTAAGGAAGGCTAGGCTATACATACCTGGCAGGGAGATACCATGATAATGAAGGTGGTTTTCACAGGGCAAGGCTCACCCATCACACTCTGGGCGTGCTGACCCCTGCGATTTCCCCAATTATGGGAAACTCGACTCCATAATTTGTGGTAGTAGGGTCTGCATTCATGTTCTCCCTTATATGGAAAAAAAAAAAGAGGAAGGCTAGGATAAGGTATGATGTTTGGTAGGTAAAGTACATTAATATATTTTTTACTTACATTTTCAGCTTATGGGTTTATTTGGATATAACACCATCATAAGTTGAGGAATATCTATACATGCAAAATATACACATGTGTGCATTCATGCATAAATATAGACACACACACACACACACACAAACTTTGAAAGAATGGGGACTATTTTTTCATCTTTTTTCTTCCCTCTGATTGTTTCCCAGTAGTAAACAGTGGGGTTGCTTTGTGTTGTTGCTGCCGTGGAGTTTAGTGCTGACCCTCTTTACAAAGACCTGTATCCTCTCTTCATCAGATGTCACCACTGTCAGCGAGGCCTGCCATCTGTGCTGAAGCCACCCGCCTTCCAGCGGGCTGGGGTGATCTCACTGCCATCTTTGCCCACATGCTTGATTTAAATCCAGCTCATGTCACCCTGCTCTGGCTCAGGCACTGTTAAAATTGAGAGATACATTCAATTTTAAGCAAGAGCAAACTAAATCTGTCTTCTAAAGAAAAACAGGGACAGCCTCCTGTGGCATTTCTTTAAATGGATTAATATGTTGATCTTGGAGAAATCGGGAGCCATCCTTCATGTTTTCATTATTAAGCCAGATGAAATGAAAACCAAACCTCACTGCTAAATGCCACCTCTGGGAATTTTGCTGGGTTGTTTTTATTTTAAAGTAACCTGCAGGATTTCTTCTTTAGTTAAAACATACTGTTGTAAATATAAAATTTCAGGGTTTTTTTTTTTTTAAGTTTAGACACTATTTAGTTGCTTCTTGTTTGCAGAGCTCATGCCAAGAACATTTTATAATGTTAACTGGCTGTGAATATCTAATCATGTGAGAAATAGTTGCTGTGTATCTACCTTCATATATTAAATAAATTACAACCTGAGCCTGGTAATAAAGTACTAATTATCAGAGTAATGCGTCATAGTCCTCACCAGATAATCTAAGTTCTTATTCACTTAAATGGTGGTTTTTAAATGAAATTATCAGTCATAAAATAAAATTTAGGCATTAAGCGGTAACTTTTGCCATTGGTTATTCTTGATACTTTAGGGAAAAATACGGTCTCATGCTGGAAGGCCTTCACTCTATTTATAAATGAGCAGATAGCTGTATGATTTTAAGAGAACAAAAGAATGCTTTTCTCTGTTTTGTAAGGGTCACAAACTCTGAACTTGCAGTTCTGTGCTGTTTATCTGAGTTTAAAGGGTGAGTTATAGCTGGTGGACTTATCTTCACTTTAGTCTTATTCACAAGGCAGAATACAAAATACTGGAAGAGTGTTTTTTCTTTTTCTTTCAAAAACATAGGTTTAGCCTGGAGTAGGAGGGTAGAGGAAAGTCTTGTGATATTACTGTGACATTTGTTGTGATTTGAAACCCTTAATGGTTTGCAAGCAGCTGGAGCTGCTTCTAGGAAGTCAGGACCGCCTTGTAGCAGGCAGGATTTCTCTCCCTCCGGAACTGGAATATCTTCTGTTTGCATGAAACAGATAGTAAGATGTTCAGAAGTTCCGGTTGCAGGGAACAGATCTGGAATGGGGATTTATTCTAATGACAACTGGAGAAATGAGGCAGCTCTGCAGAGATACCCAGCAGTTCACCTGTCCTGTCTCACCGAGAAAAGAAGTCTTTCAGTATGTAGTGGCAGCTTCTGACTTTCACTTTTGCTACTTGGTCTTTGCTTTCCTTTGCTGAAACAGGCTAATGCGCTATTTGAAATAATTGCTTCCATTCTCTTCATTTGGAACACCCCTGCTGCCATGGGCAGAGTTCCTGCCTTGTCCCCACAGAGACCTGGCCATTAGCAAGCACCTGTGGCCAAAGCACCAAAGCACTCAGCTGCCCTGGGCCTTGTGTGTCACTCTGCTGAGAAGAGCTGTCCATGAGCCTTGGCTTGTGGGCGACTGCCTTTCACCTTGAATTTAGGCTGCATCTCTGGGGCATAGTCTTCCTCCTCAGAGCTAGCAATGTAGCTTTGTTGTCTTGGATTTCATAAGAGTTTTTCAGTCTTTACCTTTGCCTCCTGTTTTGATAGACACTCTAGAAGATAGATGATACAGTCCTATTGAAGAATTCACTATTGAATGACCAAGATTATAAATCTGCGTACCACTAGAGAACTCAGTAAGAACATCTGGTTTTCCAGCCTGCCTCCAAAGATATCTCAAGACTTTTCTCTAAGCCCTTTTTCGTAGCCATAGAAATCAGCTGATATTTCACAGGAAGAGTGTGTGATACATTGGAACACACACAATTTGAGAGTTATAACATACCAAAGATTTTGTTATGCTTTGCTTAATGCTTTCCTAAGTGCTGTCATATACATTATCATTTTAACCTTCAAAGTAGCTAGGACAGGCTATCTATCTTTTGCTACTAAGAAAACAGGCCTAATACTACACAGCAAGGTAATGTCAGAACCAGTATTAGAATCCCAGTTTTCTTCTATCTTCCACAACATCTTCATATAAAAGTGTGTGATTACTAAATGATAATGTGTGTGCATGGCCACCCACCTCCAAACACATACACTCAGCCATTGAGACTCAGTTATTGAAAAATGATAGAATTTACCAGCATTAATAACTTTTGTTCTGTATATGTGGCCCTGATAGCTGAGAAATTAATTAATAGCCTAGTAAAGACTGAATCTGAAAATCTATCCTGTATTTCTGTGATGTTATTAGCAATCAGTGTAGCAATAGGCAGTATAGGGGAATCAATGATTCTGTACAGAAAAGAAACAGTGTTTTCATATCACTCTTCTTCATCTATCCATTCAACCAACCACCCTGTTAGAATGACATTGTTTGTAAAAAGTCCCAGACTCGGAGTGAAGGGACCTGAATTCTAATGGCCCCTCCTCTGACATTAAGTATATAATTTAGATTAAGTTACTAGACGCTTATGAATCCTGATATTTTTAATCTGTAAAGTCAGGTGTTGCGGTTTTGTTTTCTGATGTTTCATCTGTGTGCAGCATGATCCTAGGTCCTAAACACTACTCTCTATCTACTACATTATCCCCTTTGTAACTCCCTTCCCACTCACGCCAGGACTTGGGGACGGGGTAGGGGGCGTGAGAGGCGGTGTCGCTGCTGTATTAAAAATCTTTATTTAGGGTCAGTTTTCAGGTGTTATTTGGAATTCCCTCTGTTGTTTAATTTCACTGAATTATGTTTTAAAGTTAACTTAATAAGCTAATATTTAATGAACTTGTAAGATTGAATATATGGAATGAAATCAATATTTCTAATAAATTACCTGATGGGGTGAGAAGTTTCAGTAGAAAGTAATATAAAACTTCCAGCCTGATATTGATTAAAATTAGTGGCTTGAAGATTTAGAATATCTAATTTAAGGGCTTGTTTTCTTGGTTTATTCTATAACTTAGGTAAAAGTTGTAGCCCCAGCATTTATGATAACATTTAACAGGTAATTTCCTTTACTGGATTTAGGAAAACCAGTAATTTAGAATCAGAGCACTATGCCTGTATTGGGTGCTCTCAGGCTTTATTCCTGCAATTTAGCGTTTTTTTCTGGGGTGTTCTACTTCTAAGGGATAAACACTCTTTTTTCTCTTTTGGAATTATTAGAATCTTTTGTATCTTTCTGTATTCACAGAATATATAGTCATTTTCATTTAAGTGTTCATGAATAGCTGTAGAAATATCAGTAATTACTTGAATTTGTTGAGTATCATATAACAGTGATTCCCAATTCCAGCTACCCATCAGAATGTTTTTTCAAGACCACAAAGACGAATTTGGTGAGCAGCCCTGTTGTAAACCACAGGTTTACCAAGAGTGTCAGGTTATATTTCACATGGTTTTATGTCACTTTTATTCATTGTGAGGAAGGTAACACAAGTATTACTGATGATTCCCTTTTTACAGAGAAGGAAACTGAGGCTCTCAGGTTAAATGAGTTGCCCAAGGTCACGTTTCTTAGTAACACTTCATCTACTTATTTTCCCAATGCTAGCTTTTCCACCAGACTTGTCCATCAACACACTGTGTTGTAGTCTGGGGTCTTAGTCATGTTTCAGATTATCAAAGGTTCAACAGAAGCGAAACTGGAAAACATACTATGTTATGGCAATCGTGGGACCACAGAGAGGCAAAGTTAGGCGAACACTCTCCTAACCTTAAGGAAACTGAGAGCCCACAGGTCTTAAGTATCCTATTAAGGACATACCACATGTAGTTGTTACATCAGTGATCGGGAGATAAATAAAATACTAAATCCTTTTATTATATAATCAGCTCTTTATACCTTTCTTTTTACCCGCCATCAGGTTCATCATCATAGGGCAGTGGGTAGAGCATTGGCCCAACCACATTACATTATTAGCCTTCTGACCTGGCCTTACCCAGCCTTAATGGAGTAGAAGGAAAAAGGAGAAAATCTCCAGGAGGACACAATTAACATCTGATTACCTGGGCTCCGTTCCCATTAACATGGTAGTTTTAACTGGATCATGAGATTAGCTAGTAGTCAACTCAGGCAGTGAGGAAACAGGACCTTTCAAAGAGTGTGAGAGGAAGGGTGCAGACAAGAGGTGAACAGCTAGGGGAGTGAGGGGCAGCATAATGGTACAAGCCAGAGGAAGGACACCTTCTTCATTATTTCATTTACCTCCGCCATCTGTTCTCTCTGAAGGGACATTTTTACCAAAGAAGATAGTGGGATATACTTATTTTTTAGATTAGAAGGGTGAAAGATTATTAAAAGCCAGTTCTGATTCCTTGTTTAATCTAGTATGTTATGCCAGGCACTGAGATACCAGGAATGTGTTATCAGATTACAAATTGCTGATTTCCTGTGGATGTTTCCCCAAGGGGCATAAATTATGTGGGTGGGAACATTTTCCTAAGAAATGCTTTTGGTATCACATACATGCCAGCAATGTCCTGTTGATCATTGAAGCACCGTGGCGGAGGGGG